CTCCAGGGTGGCCGGCAAAGGCCTGGCGGCGCTTCGGGCATGGCGGCCAGCCTATGGATGGGTGACGTGAGTGAGCACGGCCGCCCGGGTCTGCGGAGGAGGAATTTTAGTGTCACGAGAAGAAAGGGACGGGATGGGGGCGTTTCTGGGATACCAAAAGAGTGAAAGTGAATGGGGAGGGGAGTTCTTTCAGGAGACGCCAAAGCGAGCTCCAGCATCTAGGTGAAGGGGCTGAGTCTGAGGGGGACGCGTCGTGGGGCCCCCCTCGGGTTCACAGACGGGAAAGGGAGGTTCTTTGGGCGGATAGAATGGGAAGAATCCCAAAGATTGAAGGGCGCCTTGGTTCCAGGACTGAAGGGATGGAGTTCCTGAGTCCATGAGGAAGGCTCCCTAAAAGGAGCAAATTTGAAGAGAAGGAAGGCAAGGGATTGGGACGCAGAAGTTGGGGTTCAGATCACTCGGCAGATGGAAATTCTTCACCCCCACACCGCTCCGGCCCGCAGCGTGCCGCCGACCCTGGGCTGACCAGGAGGGGCCCCGGATCCAGGAATGAGGAGCCTGGATGCTGGCCTTGAGCTGCTCTGCTCTTGTATTTACGCAGCTGGAGCCCTACATGGATGAGAACTTCATCTCCAGAGCCTTTGCCACCATGGGGGAGACCGTGATGAGCGTCAAAATTATCCGAAACCGCCTCACTGGGTATGTTCTCTCCTTCCATCCTCTCACTTCTCCCTTAATAAATCGTGCTGCAAGTGTCATTCAGGAGAAGGTAAACATCGTAGTCAGAGCTTCTCACCCCTAGTAACCGTTATTATAATGATATAAACTAACATTTGGGGGTTTACTGAGAGGAAGCATAGCATATTGCTTAAGGACTGGACTCTGAAGCCAGTCAGGGTTTGAAAGCTCTGTCTGCTGTGTAACCGTAACCAGGCAAGTTACTTAACCTCTCTCCTTCACCTTGACTATAAAAATGGAGATAATAATTGCGCCTGCCTCATAGAGTTCTGGTCAAGATTAAATGCGAGTTAATTCGAATTCAGCATTTAGAGCAGTTGCCTGGCATATAGTATAAAAACATTATGATTTACTAGGTAATAAGCACTTTAAAATCACAAAAACCTCTGAGCTAAGTACTATTATTAGAGAAGCTTAATAACTTTTAAAGTTACACAGCTTTTAATTGGGAAGCCAGGACTCTAAGTCAGGTCTTTTCTCAAAGCTCATGAGTGCCCTTAAGGCTATGGGGACAGGACTATGTGCCACTGTTTTAGATCTCCGAGGTACATGACTGAAACAAGCCAGTCTGTCCCCTCGTGGAATTTACTACAGTCTAATGGAATGAGACAATAAATATGTAAACAGCAAAATGCAGAGTGTATTTTCAGCTAGTGGTGCTCTGTTGCCTCCAGTTTCTTATTTCTCTTTTTTAAGGTCTTAGGTTTCCTAGTTAGAAATAACAGGATTCCTTTATCAATTTGACAGTGTTTGCGAAGCATCTACTCTGTGCCAAGTACTAAAGCAGCTTGCTACAATGTCAAATAGTTGAAAAATAGAGATGAGAGATACAATATATGGCCAACTCTGGCCCTGTGGTGAACAGGTACTTTGTATATTCAGAACCCCTGTACCCAGGGACAGATTTTCTGACTAGTAGATCATGCTGGCCTAAATATTTTTCCTCTTGTTCTTGTAGATGGAAAACCCTACTGGTTTCACATCAGCTACTGGTGTGAAAAGACTTTCTGTAATATGTTCTACTTTTTAAAACACTGACATAGGTTCTCACATTTTCATCTTAATTGAAATAAGAATTGGAATTATTGTTTCCTGCACTTGATTACTAAACTCTAGCTGTGTCTTAATGATGGCAGTTACAGACATATTACATTTACTTATTCTGCCTCATGTGACAAAGACTTTGAAGTGGGTTATAAGAATACTGTAAAATAAATAAATGTAAATTAAAAACCAAGAACAGAGAAGATAGGGGAATAAGAAAAGACACAAGGAAAAATAATATGCAATAGAGCAAAGTGTTTAAGAATGCAGTCATTGGTTGCACAACAGTGTGAATGTACTTAATAGAACTGTACACTTAAAATGGTTAAAATGACACATTTTTGTGTTATGTATATTTAACCACAATTTTAAAAATTCAACAAAGATTAAAAAAAAGAATGCATCACATGTGGAGCAGCCACATCTGTCATTCATCACTGGTGGGATTATAAAATGGTACAGCCCCTTGGAGCAAGTGTCTGGCAATTTCTCATATACATTTCCCATATGGTCCAGCAAGTCTAGTCCTAGATATTCACCCAAGAGAAATGGAAATATGCATCTACCAAAGAAAAGGTCTTGAAAAAGAATGTGCATAACGCATTTGGACAGTGGCCCAAAACTGCAACCCAGGTATTCACAGATAAATAAATATTGGTATATTCATACAATAGAATAACTTAGCAATAAAAAGAGACATACTGCTAATATAGTGACAACACGAATGAATCTTAAAGGCATGGTGCTAAGTGAAAGAGGTGTTAATATATGATTCCATTTATTTAAAATTCTAAAATACAGAAAATTAATCTGTGATGGAAATAACTCAGCCTCTGGGAGAATTTGTACATGTCATTGCATGTAAATTTAACCTTAAAAGGGAAAAAAAATTAAGTTATTGAACTCTAGTCAATAAGCATGTTAAAGTAATTGAGGGAAGTACACCAATATCTGCAACCTCAAAATGTATCAGAAAATAAGAATGATAAATGGGTGGAGGCATGGATAGATGAATAGCTATGTGATAAAATAAGGCTGATAAAGTGTTAATAGAATGTCTTTACTATTGTGAACTACAATAAACATGGAAATGCATATATCTAAAAAACTGTTAATTGAAGGGTAGGCTGTGTATGTGTATGTATGTACATATATGTGGTGTTTGCTGTACAATTCCTTCAGTTTTTATATTTGGAAGTTTTCATAGTAAAGTATTGCAGAAAGAATGTGGTCAGACTACCCTGAATTCAAGTCCCAGCTTCGAGCTTCAGCACACACCAGCTGTGTGGGTTAAGGCATCTTGTAAAATCCTAGGTCTCGGTCTCCATACCTGACTGGGAGGGATAGTTTCATTCCCTCATAGAGTTCCATGAGGAGTAGATGAGGGGTACAGGTGAGGTGGCCAGCAGTGTTTGGCTCAGTAATGCTCAGCTCTTACTGGTGGTGGTCTTTACATCTGTGAGCCGTAAGATTCCAGCACACACAAGACAGAAGGCACAGAATGGCCAGCCATTCTTCTAAGCATCAGCAAACACTTACGGAACTCTTAGACTGTCTTCTGAGATCCTTGGGCTCAGTTACTGCTCTTGCCTGTACCTTCTTGGCTGGGTGTCTGTAGGGTTATCTGCACTGAATATTTCCAGAAAAGTTTGGTTTATTTTACTGGTGATAGCTTTAAGGCTGATGTTAAGGGAAATTAAATGTTTTCAGTGTAAATCTCTTAAGTAGGAAAGGATGTCAGGGTTTAGCCACTTCCTCCTACTCATGTTTCTTAGTGATGCTTTAAAAAACAGAACACCAGGAATCGCACAGACATCCCCCAGTTAGGTAAGGCCTATGGATTTACTTTGTCCAACTAGATTGTAAGTTTCTTAAGCATAGGAACCACATTCTTTAACTCTGTATCAGCCTGGCCTGTGAAATGTGATCAAAAAACCTTTCTAATTATGAAAAATTTAAAACAAATCTTCAAAGAATAGCATAATGAACTCTCATAGAGCTACCACCTAATTTCAAAAATTGGTAACATATTGCCATATTTTCCTTACCTATCTGTCAATAAGGATAGATTTAGGTAGGTAGACACTTTCTCTTTCCTGAACCATGAAAGTAAATTACAGGCATTGAGACATTTCACCGCTAAATATTTGAGTGTACATTGCCAATCCCTGGGCATTCTGTTACATAACCACAATGCTCATATCACACTAACAGAATTAACAATGATTCCCTAATATCACACAATGGCCAGTCTACATTTAAATTTTTATAATTCTGCCCAGAATATTTTTATAGCTTTTATTTGTTTTTTAATGAATTAGGATCCAGAGATCAGATTCTCCATTGCATTTAGTTTTTTTGTCCTTTTTTTAATGTAGAAAAGCCCACTTCTTTCTTTTCTCTTAACACTGACTTTTTTTAAAATTTGTTTTTCTTTACATTTTCTTGATGACTTTATTTATTTATTTAGCTTTTTTTGGCAGAGGGCAGATAATTAGGGTATGTATGTATGTATGTATTTATTTATTTATTTTTGGAGGAGGTACTGGGGATTGAACCCAGAACCCTGTGCATGCCAAACACACACTCTACCACTTGAGCTATACACTCCCCCCCAACACTGACTTTTTAAAGAGGTCAGATTAATTGTTTCATACAAGGTTCTACATTCTGGATTCTGGTCCTGCTTTCTGGATTTATTTGTTTCCTTGTGGTGGTGGTTTACTTATTTTGTTCCTAATATTTCCTGAAAACTGGACATTAGATCTAAAGGTTTCATTGGATTGCATTAAACATTTTTGGCAAAAGTACTTCTTAGGTGATACAATACATAAATAAATGAGTCTGGGACTGGCCTAAATTGGCAGTCCTTATACTCAGGTTTGTAAATTCTGAACTGGATTATGGCAGGGAGCAAAAACAGTATAGGGTATGATTAGGAAAACATTTTTCCTTCCCTTCAGGCCCAGACTCAGTCTCCCATCTGGATAGCACATCTTTTTTTTTTTTAACTGAAGTACAGTCAGTAATTTCCAGAATATATAAACAGCTCGTACAACTTAATAAAAAAACAAACAACTCAATCTAAAAATGGGCAGAAGACCTAAACAAGTATTTCTCCAATGAAGACATAGGAATGGCCAATAGACATGAAAAAATATTCAGTATCACTAATTATCAGAGTAATGCAAATCAAAACTACAGTGAGGTATCACCTTATACCAGTCAGAATGGCCATCATTCAAAATTCCATGAACAATAAATGCTGGAGAGGATGTAGAGAAAAGGAAACTCCCCTACACTGCTGGTGGAAATGTAGTGCAGCCATTATGGAAAACAGTATGGAGATTCCTCAAAGAACTAAACATAAACTTACCATATGATCCAGCAATCCCATTTCTGGTTATATATCTGGAGGGAACTCTAATGCGAAAAGACATAGATATCACATCTTTTAACAGTTTACTCTTTCTGTTTTCTTTCCAGGATCCCAGCTGGCTACTGCTTTGTAGAATTCGCAGATTTGGCCACAGCTGAGAAGTGTTTGCATAAAATCAATGGGAAACCCCTTCCAGGAGCCACACCTGTAAGGACATTCAGATAATCATGAAGTTGCCATTTTTATTGTCATTGATAACTGTCATTTATTGAGTCCCTACTGTATACTTACTGTATTTAATCCTATCACAACACTGAACAGTAGGCATTGTTATCTTTGACAGACCAGGAAACTGAAGCTCAGGGAAATGGAATAACTTGCCCAAGGCAACACAGGTAGTGGCAGAGCCAGGATGCAGACTAAAGATTGGTTGCCTCTAAAATCCATGCCCTTTCCACTCTGCACCGCTGCCTCCCTTAATGGAAGACTTGAAACTCTAGACCGCTTGCTTGATTGAGAAAGTAGAACAGGCTGGCAGCAGTAAGGACACGTTTCAAGAGAGTTACATTCTGCTCTTCCCACAGTTACTTAGCTTACAGCTGCACCGCGCTGGCACACCTGGGCTCATAGAACCATGGAGCTGGCAGTGCCCTTAGCGGTCATCCGTGCAACCCCCTCATTTTATACAGGAGAAAAAGCTGAGGCTTAGAAAGGGGGAGATGTTTTGGCCAAGGTAATTTATTTCAGTTTTTTTCAAATATTGTTTGACTCTTGAAACACCTTTCTCTGTTTTAGTTTGTTTGTTTTTAAATTCCCAGGCAAAACGTTTTAAACTGAACTATGCCACTTATGGGAAACAACCAGACAACAGGTAAGTACAGAGTAGCCCTAAGTTAGCTTCAAGCCCCAGGAAATGTCTAGATAGAGACAAGATGTGTCACTGTGTCTGTCATTCCCAAAGAGGGAGATGGGGAGCTGAGTTTGGCCCCATTTTACCTCCCTTCTGAAAGATGACATCCCCCACACCCATTGGTGGACCCCTCCCAGGATGCTTCTTGTCAAGTCCCATGTCGTTCTATATTTGGTCCCTCCGCCAGCCCCGTTACTGCCCACAGTACTGGTATTTTATTAGGTAAGAACTGACCTGTTGTAGCAACATAAATTGATTTAGCATTTAAGATCGCTATTTGAAAGGTTTAAAACAATGTATCAAATGCTTTAGATAGATTTGTGGCCATTGAACTTGTCATTCTACTTTTCAGAACTTATTCGTGGATGTGTATAAAGATTAACATCAAGAGTGTTCATTGACATATTACAATATTCGACGTAGTCTACTTCCACACAAAATAAAAATTAAAAAGAATAATATTCTGGGGGGAGGGTGCATGGTGGTAGAGTGCATGCGACAGAGGCCAGAGGTGTCCCCACAAAGCCTAAAATATTTACTATCTGGCCCTTCACAGAAAAAGTTTCTGTGAAGTTACTGACCTCTGTCCTCAAAGTTGAGAGATTTCATTTTAGCTCATCTTTAGGAGAGAAGGTCCAGTTATTCTCTCTGTCTTTCACCATTTGAATTAAAAATAGACAGAATATCTGGTTTTATCCTTTGAGCACCTCTAGCCCTGCCCTCTATCTGCACTCCTGTAATGCTTGAAGCTAGAAAGGCTTTATTCAGTGGGTGAGGGATTTGGGACAGGGGACTCCTTCCGTAACTCTTCTGCCAGGACTGCCAAGTGAAACAAATTAGGACCCATCAGAGGTTGTTCTCTAAGAAGACCTAGAAAAGATTTACTAGAATGGGCTAAGAGCAAAAGTTTTGTTCTTTGTCTCTGAATTTCGCTTTCTCTTCTTAGCCCCGAGTACTCCCTCTTTGTGGGGGACCTGACCCCAGATGTGGATGATGGCATGCTGTATGAATTCTTTGTCAAGGTCTACCCCTCCTGTCGGGGAGGCAAGGTGGTTTTGGACCAGACAGGCGTGTCTAAGTAAGGCCTTACCTGTTGATTGATGCCTACCCTGTTGGTTGCAGCATTTTTCCCAGAAAAGGGGATGGTGTAGTGAGGCCATGCTGCACGGTGGTTAAGAGCACAGGCTTTGGAGCCAAACTGCCTGGTGTGAATCCCAGCTTCAGTGCTGCCCAGGGCTTATGCCACAGACGAGTAACTGAACCTCTGACCCTGTTTCCTCATCTGTGAAATGGGACTGATCAGTAGTATCTGTATCTCTCAGGGGGTGGCATAAGGATTAAGTGATGTAATATAAATAAAGCAATAGGAAATGCTTTTTAGGTGTTTCCTCTTTTATTTATTATTGTTACTTTAGAAGTAGAAAGACCTCACGAGAGGGTCATTCTTGATCTGAGTTGTAGTTATGAGCTTGAGCTTTGAATTTGAATCCTGCTTCCACTATGACTTTGGGCAAGTTAGTAAACCTCTCTGAACTTTGATTCTGTCTTCACTAAAATGTGGGTACCCCCTTCATCAAGCTGTGGGATAGTTCGGTGAGTTAACCATGGAAAGATGCTCAGCACAGATGAAAGAAATGCTCATTGAGTGTTAGCCATCATTCATTTATCCCCCAAGTAGAATGTGAGTTCAGGAGAACAGAACCTCATCTGCTTGTAATTGCTGAGTCCCAGGGCCAGGTGTAACACCTGGCACACAGGGCAGACTTGGTAAATATTTGCTGACTGACCTTCTGTGACTGTTACTGCTACTGCTCCTACTAGTATTTGCCGGTAGATGGGAGGGAAGCTACTATTTGGGAAAAAGCCCCATCAAGACAGCATGAAGGAGACTGGTGAAGTGAAAGTCGGGGTTCCTAGAGATCTCAGGATCCTCCTGTGCCTGAATCTAGGGTAGCTCTATGGCACCCCTCCACTGATGGGGCTCTCACACGTCGTTTGATAGACTCTCTCCCTTCTCAGCCCCTTTCCCAGTCTTAGACTTTACCTTCATCACATTTGTGTTCTAAATAGTGTGGGTTGTTTATTTTTCCCCCTGCAGGGGCTATGGTTTTGTGAAATTCACAGATGAACTGGAACAGAAGCGAGCCCTGACAGAGTGCCAGGGAGCAGTAGGCCTGGGGTCTAAACCAGTGCGGCTGAGCGTGGCGATCCCTAAAGCGTGAGTCCTGCACTGCTGGGGAGCAGAGGCCTCTGGACCGACCCCCACCTGCATGCGCCTTGTCTGTTGTTGATAATCAGGGCATCGCCTATGTGCTGAATGGGAGGCTGCCAGGAGATTCAGTTCAGCTGCAAATCATGAGTGCCTGATACTTGTCAGGCTGTGTGCTGGGTGTTAGGGAGGAACTAATATAACCTTGCCCCTCCAGAAGTTTCTGGTTAAGGAGAGAGCTCTAACTGGGGAAAGCAGATACATTCAGACGTCACTGGTAGCAATGCTGGAAAAGCAGTTTGGCTGCACACAGTTACTGTCTCTGCTCTTTGCCCAGTAGTGCTGCTGTTAAAAATTTATCCACGGAATTCATAAGAACTGAGCAGACAAAAATTACATCCAGTTTTAGCCTTATTTATATCAGTGAAACCTACAAACCTCCTATGAATGTCCCCTGCTATGGGAATGGCTAAGAATTAATGCTCCAAACAGAACGGAATTTGTTTTTCATATTTTTTTCTATTTTTATATTTTAATATAATTCATAAAACAGTGCTTGTATAAAAATTCACACAAAGTTGCTAGAAAACAGAATTTCCAAAAATGTCCTGGGTTTTTGTTACACTGAGTTTTCTAATGATGCACTCCACAATAGACTATTAATACATCACTGTTACCTGTCACACTAGGCTGAAAACCCTCCGTCCCTTACAACACCAAGCAGGTTTTTCACTCAGATGTAAGACAGACTTTCTTTGCACAGAATCTTCCATTCTTTGGCCCAAGCATTGGTTCTCAGCAGGGGACATTAGCAACACCTGGAGACAGTTTAAGTTGTCACAACTTGGGGGAGGGCTACGACTGGCATCTAGTGAGTAGAGGCCAGGGATGCGACTGAACATCTTACAGTGCACAGGACAGTCCCCATGACAAAGAATGACCTGCTGCCACCCCCAACAGTCAATTTTGCAAAGACTGAGAAACTGCCTGTTACAAGTAGAGGAGTGGCTGCACTCTTAGGGCAGGGCTTCCAACTGATCTTGGTTTTTAAAGCAGCAAAAGATTTGGAGGATTTTTGCAGTTTAACCATGTTTTTTAATACAGCCTGAGTACTTCCTCCCCTCTCCAAATGTTGTTTGTTCTCAACTCTATTCTATGTATAAAAACATTATAAAGAAAACATTTAGAAGAGAGAAATTTCCTCATTACCCTAAGATGACTAATTAAAAGTTCTGAGTTCCTTTCCAAGCTTCTCCATAAACTTCTGTGATGTATAGATGTAGATATAGACATGGGCATGGACACGCACACACTTCATGTGGATCAGTTAACATGTGGTGGATTAATTTCTTTATTCATTTTTAATTATAATAACAGTGCTTATTCTTCTCTCCCCCCAGCTTACTCAGTGTACACACTCACTTTGCCATCTAGTTGGACAGCTGTCATCATTATAATATTTTTTAACAGCTGCAGGATGTTCTTTTGATTGTATATTCTGTCTAGCAGCCTCTGATGTTGACTGTTACGGCTGTTTCTGATGTGTCACCATTGTTCAGTCAATGATAACTGAGTTCCTATAACTCTGCAGGCCCTGTCCTGGACTTTGAAATTATAGCTGTAAATAAGAAACAAAGTCCTTTCTGCAGGGAGGTTATATTCTGTTATATTTGTTTCTTCATTGAACATTGTCATCAGTATTTGATGCCTGCCTCTGGGGAGGTGCCCTCAAGCACTAGAAATTGAGGCTGATAAGGTAAGAGTCCCCTTTGAGAGTTAGACTGTAGGACCTGAGTGTGGAGAAACAGAAGAGAAATGTACCTTCAGTGGCCTGAACATATCAGGAGGGGGACAGACTCCTTGGACACCTGGAGGTGGAGTCATGGAAACGAATATTAGCAGTTTCCAGCCTTGTGCTGGCCGGGGAGAGGGAATCTGCCATCAGACTTCATCGAGCCACCCCATTGGGAGGTGATGCAAACGCAGTCAGATGTGGAGTCTTTCTGACTGTTCTGAGTCCTGCTCACCAAGCAGACATTGAACTCATGAGGAATTTGGGAAGAGCTCACCACGCCTGATTTTTTATGTTTTTGAAAGCAGTAGATCCTTTGCAAGCTTGACATTCTAGTTTTGGTTAGCAGTGGCTGGAATCACTGTGCAATCGGATAAGAAAGCTTTCTACTGACCCTGGGCCTCAGCCCTGATTGGTGAAGGCAGGATGTGGGACACTGGCAAGCTGTCTTGAGTCTGTCGGTGCCGGGGCAGTGTGTATGGTGTGGTAGGAGTGTGAGCCCTGGAGTTAAAATTGGTTCTAGTTGTAGCTGTGGTCTTGGGTAAATCACTTAACCTTTCAGAGAAGTTCAGTGTTCTTATCTGTATATGGGAATAATAAATAATAGCTCTATCATAGGGTTGTACAGAACTTAAAATAAGAGACCATGTATGAAAAATAATGGGCACAAGTCCCAAGTACCTACTCCATAAATGGTCGCTATGACTACAGCTCCAGTCTACTGGAATGCTGCTTTTTTTTTCCCCCTTTTTTTGAGGAGAAGAGGTGATTAGATATTTTGTAGTTTGAAATGCTTCTTAGATCATCCTAAATCCAGATTCTCCAGGCCATGTTCACCTGAGCCTTTGTGGCTGGCAGAAAAACAGCCCCCCAAGATCTTGAGAAGGGGAGAAGTCAGTACTGACAAGGTTTGATTAGAGAGACAAACCTAATGATTGAAAGCTCTTGTCTTTAAAGCTGGACTCTGGGACCAGACTGCCTGGATTTGAATCTCTTATTAGCTGTGTGACTTTGGACAAATTATGTAAGCTCTCTGTACCTCACTTTCCTCATCTGTAAAATAGGAATAATGGTATAGTTACTGCATAGCAGTATTGTGGGGATTAACTGAGTTAATCTGCTTAAAGCACTTAGAACAGTCTCAGGTCACATAGTGTTATGGAAATGTTTGCTTACACTTGTTTGTTGACTTTTCTGTCTTCATTTAAGGAGTCGTGTGAAGCCAGTGGAATATAGTCAGATGTACAGTTACAGCTACAACCAGTACTACCAGCAGTACCAGAACTACTATGCCCAGTGGGGCTATGACCAGAACACAGGCAGCTACAGCTATAGTTACCCCCAGTACGGCTATACTCAGAGCACCATGCAGGTAACCGTGATCTGGCCAGTCTGGCCCTCTTGGGTTACATCATCCTGTAGAGACGTGAATCACATTCTCCAGGAAGGGATGGGTAAGGACGGGAGCTTGGGCTTCAGGAAAAACTGGGGGAAAGATGAAGCAACCTAGTTCCTCTTGTTCAAAGTACACCATCTTTGGGGGGAGGGTATAGCTTAGTGGTAAAGCGCGTGCTTTAGCACGGACGAGGTCCTGGGTTCAACTGAAATAAATAAACCTAGTTATCTCCCCCACCATCAACAAAACAAAACAAAACACCATCTTAGTCACGGGCTGGGATTTCACTATGCTTCTCACGCACCTCTCTGGTCTCTTGGCAGACATATGAAGAAGTCGGAGATGATGCATTAGAAGGTAAGAAAGAAGTCCCTTCACTCAGTTCACACATCATTACAGTAAGATGTGTCACTTGAGGTGGAAGTGCAGCTCCCAAAGAGCCTGGGGTGGGGGGTTTCGCTGACAGGGGAGGGAGCCTGTCACTCCCTAGATGTGTGGCATTCTACCCCAGGATGTAGGTCTGTGGCAAAAATACCATTGCCTTATATTTTTTTCAGTTTGTAAAATTCATTTTTCATGTTTTAATTTTTTTCCTTTTTTTTTTTTTTTTTTGGACGGGGAGGTAATTAGGTTTATTTATTTATTTAACGGCGGTACTGGGGATTGAACCCAGGACCTTGTACTTGCTGGGCATGTGCTCTACCACTGAGCTATACCCTCCCCCTTCCATCTGTTTTAAATTACATGTTTTTCTCATTCAAGTAACAGTTACGATTGAAAATTTGGAAAATACAGTAAAGTATTATGAAGAAACTGAAAATCACAAGTATTTATTACCATTTTTACTGAATTTAACTAAAGAAAAAGAAAGAAAAGTAAAACCGAAAGAATTGCTAACCTTCAGACAAATGTTTTTCCAGATGAGATATTCATACATCTTAAAGGATTCACTAAGGTTTGGAAAAACTATAAAGACCGATTAAAAGTTTTTTTCACCGTGTTTCTGGACAGATGTTAAGTCTTAAAGAAGTAAAATAACAGTTGTCATAAAATCAGACATTATTGATTTCTGTGTACATAAAACTTCAAGGTAAAAGCCTCAAAGTTTAAAATCTATTTTAAGAATTACTCTTCAAGAGGTCACAGGGAAAGTGTGATCTGTAAGCAAATATCCTTTAAAGAAACATCACCTGCAAAGAACAGACTTTCTGCTTTGTAGCATTTTAAAGCACTTCCACATACATGCTGTCTTCTGATTCTAACAGCCGTGACCTTGGGGAGTGGGCAGGGCAAGATACAGGAGCTCTAGTTGACAGATGGGGAGCTGGCCATCACTTCATCTGCTCAGGGTTCCACTGTGAGTTAGGAGCAAGGGTGGACCTTGGTAAGCAGACTCAGCCAGAGCCATTTGGCAGTCTTTCCGTATCCTCACCAATAGTTACTATTTTACATTTTAACCATCCTGGTATGTATCTCATTCTGGTTTTTATTTGCATTTCCCTGATGGTTAATGATGTTGAGTGTCTTTTCATTCATGTTTATTGGCCATGTGTTTGGAGAAATGTCTATTCTTTTGCCCATTTTCAAATTGGGTTGTCTTTTTATTGTTGAATTATGAGAATTCTTTATATTCTATTCTGTATACTAGTCACTTATCAGATATATGATTTGGAAATTACTTCTCCAGTTCTATGAATTATCTTTTCACTTTCTTGATAATACCCTTGGAAGCACAAAAGTTTTTAATTTATATGAAGTCCACTTATTTTTTCTTTTGGGGTCATAGTGTCATATCTAAGAAACCATTGCCTGTTTATACCTGTTCCCTTCTGAGACTTTTTTCCTTTATTTTTTGGTTTTTGGTTTTTTTGTTTTTGTTGAGTTGTTGATTTATGGTTTTACATTTAGGACTTTGATCCATTTTTAGTTAACTTTTGTATAAGTTGTGATGTAGGGTCTCACTTCATTCTTTTGCGTGTAGTTACCCAGTTGTCCTGGCACCATTTGTTGAAAAGGTTATTCTTTACTAATTGAGTTGTCTTCATACCCTTGTTGAATATCAATATACTCTAAATGTATGGGTTTAGTTTTGGATTCTTAATCTTTTCCACTGATCTGTATGTCTGTGCTTAGGCTACTGCCACAGCCTGTTACTGTAGCTTTAGTAAGTTTTGAGATGGGAAAATGTGAGTCCTTGAACTTTGAAGATCGTTTTGGCTATTCTGGGTGCCTTGTATTTCCATATAAATTTTATGATCAGCCTGTCGATTTATGAAAAAAAAAAGCAGCTGTGATTTTGATAGGGATTGCATTGACTCTGTAGATTAATTGGGGGAATATATTGCCATCTTAATGCAGATCTTCCTTGACTTACTATGTATGTCCCGATAAAGCCATCATAAGTTGACAATAACGTTAAATTAAAAATGCATTTAATACACCTAACCTACTGAACATTATAGTTTAGCCTGGCTTAAACATGCTCAGATCAGTTAGCATTTACCTACAGTTGGGCAAAATCATCTAACATAAACCCTGTTTTATTAGTGTTGATTATCTCATTAATTGGAGCAGTTCAAGGGTATCAGTTGTTTACCTGCCTGACCACGTGGCTGACTGGGAGCTGCTGCCGCCCAGCGTCACTTGAGTGTAGTTACCACGTATCACAGCCTGGGAAACCATCAAAATTCCAAAGACAGTTTCTAACTGATGTGTATCACTTTTGTACCATTGTAAAGTCGAAAAATCTTAAGATGAACCATCGTAAATCGAGGACCATCTGTATTTGTCTTCAAGTACAAGGGATGTGTTCATATTTTATTAAGGTCTTCTTCAATTTCTCCAGTTAATTTTAAATTGTTTCCATGAATGGGTGTGCGTGCATTTTAAACCAGCAAGATTAAAAGGAAAATATAAAGTGTTATCAGTCATAGTAGTTAAGGAATTTTTAAAATTTTAATTGTGAAATATAAACACTTGGAAAAGTACAGACAAAAAGTGTAGTTTAACATGTAGTTACAAAATGCCCATGAAACCTTCATTCCGGTCAAGTAAAATATTGCCAGTCTCCTTCCCCAAGTCACAACCCACAATCCCACTAGGGAAAACTGTTGTTTTATAGTAACAAACCTTCCTTTTCTTTATAGGTTTATCATACATATGCATCCCTGAGCAGTATGGTTTAGTTTTGCCTGTTTTTGAGCTTTCTGTAATGCAGTTGTGCTGAATGTACTGGCTTGCTTCTTTCATTCAACACTCACAGCATTTTGTGTGATTCTTCCAAGTTGGATGTGGCTGAGGTTCATTTTCAGTGCTCTGTAATAGTCTCTTCTAAGAAGTTTACTTGTTCTGGGTTTATTAAAAATACTATCATGTTATTTTGTCATTATTTAACAAATACCACTTTTGCAATCAAAGTTTACATCAGGACTTGACCGTAACTCCTTCATTAGACAGTCACTGTTAGTTCGTGATTTAGTCATTTTGATCAACTTCCTAAGCACAAATTTGAAAGGACCACACCAGAAAATCCAGGCCATGTGACAGCTAGAGGTATAACAGCCACCATTATTTTGAGTACTGACTGTATGTTACATTCTCAGTTCAGCTGGCTGTTGATCATCTTGGGATTAGGGGCCCCTACCAACCACATGGTTGAAAATCCACATGTAACCTTTCCTTCGTTCCTCAACATCCTGATTCAACCAACTGTAGATTCTGTAAGACTAGCATTTACTCTTCAAAAAATCCTCATACGAGTGGACCCAGTTCAAACCCATGCTTTCAGATGTGAACTGTACACCCAATTTTCATCCTCACAAACCCTTCAAGGCAGTGCTGTCAGCTGGTGAGGAAGGAGGGAACTCTGGCAGGGAGTTGGGAATGGAGTCTCTTGGGACTGCTGAGAGCCTCTCCCCTCTGCACTCCCTGAACCAATTTTTGCTTCCCTTCCAGACCCCATGCCGCAGCTGGATGTGACTGAGGCCAACAAGGAGTTCATGGAGCAGAGTGAGGAGCTGTATGATGCACTGATGGACTGTCACTGGCAGCCTCTGGACACAGTGTCTTCAGAGATCCCTGCCATGATGTAGCCAGGACAAAGGACAAGCCAGAAAGACTGTGTAAAGGAGATAAGAGACTCCTTTTTTAAAAGTTACTTGCAAGAACTTCTACCTTTTTTGAAATGTTTTGTAAGATTTTAGTAGTCAACTATTTCCTGAGATTATGAATATTTCTGCGACACTGCTGCCTTCATTTGAACATTTGAGTTTGAAAACCAAGGGACCAGTTGTTCTGAGATAAATTGGAACCTCAATCTTCATCTTTGAACAATAATCATTTATCCAGGTAGGGTTATCTACACTACTGGAGAAAAGGACATTTTGGGATTAACAACCAGAATGGATCTTAACAGCTACTAAATCAGCTTCATAGGTGACACGCACATAAATCCTTAACGTTCTCTGGGGTCAGAGTACATGGGTAACCACTGTCATGCTCCCAAACTGGGCAGTTTTATTTGCTTTCAGTTACTCCCTCCAACAAATTTGCTTCAAGTCTGGTGGCTAGGTAGAATTTATTAGAACTGGGGAAGTTGCGTGCCCCATGTAAGTGCTGAGGCCAGCTTAGTCTAGACCAAAAGGCCTGCATAATTTTAGGGACAGGCCTGTGTAACCAAGCCCACCTGTTTCTTAACTAAATGCACTAACAGGTATAAACCCACTTACATATAAGGGATGGTAATTCAGAAAGATAACCTGACCTTGAAGTGTCAACCAGCACCAAACCAGATCTCCATGCTAGTCTTTTACACATTCCTACTGTGACATGCAAATAAATTAGGTATAATTGGAATTTTAGACTTGATCATATTGCCCCTCAGAGATCAACCTTTTTTAGTTTTTTTTATAGTTCATTCTGGTTCTCTGGATCATTTAGATAAGAAGATAACCAACAGTTCAAGGGACATGAAGAAAACTAACACAAGCATACATGCAGGAGTTTATTGGTCACTTACATGCCAGGTACAAACATTAGCCAAAAAAAGTCATGGTTTCCACTTAAAAGAGCCTGTTGTCTCTTCCCATAGTGCTTCTCCCCTGAAAAGGAAGTGTAAGCCAGTGTGTTAGTATTTCCTCAATTAATCAATGCCATCAAGGCATTTTCCTAAGAGCTGGTCTCAGTCCCATATCCGCATTTATCATCCATAGATGTCCACTCAGATTAGGTTTCATCCTGGACCAGTCAGACTGAAATGAACTGCTTGTTTCTAGCCACTCACTCTCCCCAGGGAGATATGGTTTAGACTCCATGGTCTGAGGTTACCCAAAACAATCACACGTGAGCTCAAGCCACCACTGCACTTTCATAGCAATCAGCCCTTGCTGTAAAATGCAGGGCTGTCCTTTTCTACATTTTACTCACAGCAGAATGTGCTTTTAGCTTTAGGGTTAGCGATCTAACAGACCAAGCCACACTGGAAACATTACTTGTCCTGAGGTTACAAACGGCCAACAAAGCACACAGGGAAGGCCAGATATAAATGAGGTATTAAAAAGACAAGACTTTTACACACAGACCTGAACAGCCTTATCTATTTGCTATGTTTAGGGGTCTCAGTAGTGATAAAACTTCAGGTGGACATTCAACTGACCCCACTCTGCAGATCCACAATCACAGATGAAGACAGTTTCACTGTTAACAGAAAAAAGAACATTCTCAATCAAGAGGCAAGAAAGCTACCAATCAATCCCTCCCAAATACAGAAATACTAGTCAGCAACCACTATGCCAACTGTCCAGACTTTCACATACAGCCTCCCTTTAAGCCTAAGATTAGCCGATTTTACAGGGAAAGAGGAACAAATTCTAAGATAATTAGCCTTGTTTGAAACTAGCCCTCATACTAGAACGGATACTAGCACTGTGAGGACAGCTTCAGTACTACTATTCCTCCTTTTACGACCACCAAGACCAGTGTTCAGATCCGATGGGAAAGGGAACCGGAGGGTCAAGCCATCTTCAACAGCCAACTTTACCTTATTCTAAAGATTCAGCTCCAGAAACAAGCTGGTATCTTTTAGTATCAGGCACTGCCAGTAAAATCCAGGGGGGGAACCTGTAGGAAAGAAGTGAAGTTCTAAACCAAAAAGTTGATCCAGTACACCTATCTACATGAAGTTGATGGAAACAGCTGGACCCAGGCCCTGAGATAATATAGGAAAGGCGAGTGGCAGCTGCAGGTATAAGCTGACCTGCGCTGTCAAAGTCTCTCCAAGTTGCTCTTGCATGCAGTTGGAGATCCCGTGGCCACAACAAGCCACAGCCCTTGGAAACATGCGGTACTGACCCAACTTAGCTCCCAAATCAAGTCTCCACAAGAAACCTACCAGGTCCTGAGACTCTAGTCTCTGTCATCACTGTCGTGACGAGTCTTCACTCACCAGAAATACCAACTTCAGTCATCCTGGACTCTCCATCTGGCACAGCTAAGATGAGAACACAATTGTCCTGAATGATCTTACTGCTCCCTTCATCTGGTCTGCAGAACCAAGGTTCTGACTGGTCTTTGGTCCCAGTACTGATGTCATAAGCTTTTCAGGGCAATGACCCAAAGCACTGCCAAGATCTGTGGCGCTTGCTGCTGGATTTTCCCAGTACAGATATCTAACCCACTCCCATCTGCCCCTCTGTGTTGGTTCTTGTCTTTGCAAGCTACTTCTCAAATGCCTCATTCTGTTAACTCTGTATGCACGAACCCACCAGTGGAACATTTCTGCTGGCCTCTGGAAACGTTTCAGTTTTAATAAGGGTCTCTGGCTATACCTGAGAAATGACAGGTACAATAGCTGTCTTTTCCTGAAATGTTGCAGATCAGTTACAGCAAACAGAACGGCGACCGTCAAGGAAAATTGTCACTCTGGGCTCCTTTTTGACCACAGCAGCTATGTGGAAGCAGCTGCAGCTTCGATAAGGGCCACAGGCAACCAAGATCATAAAACAGCCTCAACAGCTGTCCAGACTCACCTAAATCCTGTGCATCAGGACGTGTCACCAATACATCTACTGGGACATTCTGGAGACTAAGAGAGAGAACAGACATCCTATAGGTCTCAATCACCATTTTACTATCTGCCGGTGTTTTGTCTCACTTTACCTTCACAGGATCATTTAATCATTACCTCAATTTACATAATTAGTTAATTGCTGAAAGTCGACTATCAATGGAGAAAGTGAAGTGGAGACTCAAAATAGATTCTGAGTAACCCCGTCTTTCAGAAAACCCTGTCCTTATACCCACAAGGGTGACCAACTTAACATGTGTCGTGCAGCCAGATAACTTAGATGAAAGCAGGGAAGTCACTTGCCGAAGGTGACAAAGCAACTGTCACAGGCATCTTCAACGTCTGGCTGACCTCACCACGTGTTCTACCCAATTAGGCCACTTCAGCCCCACACCTGCCGTGAACACGGCTGGCCGCCCGCCCTATTCACCTGTCCTACCGAGAGCGCAGGGCCGCCCAGGCCGAGACGCGAGCAGGGCGCGGCCCTCACGAGTTGCGGCCGCTCTCACCGCGCAAGCGGCCAACGTTGCCTTCCCGACCTCGGCCCCACCAGGCCGGCAGGCCTGGTCCTCCCTGCCGCGCTCAACATCCCGCAGGCTCAGGAGGCAGCCCCGCCGAATGCGGCGCCGGTGGCTGCGAGGCTAAGGCCGGGTGCGGCGGAATATGGGCGTGGACGGCAGCAGGCCAAGAGTCGCAGGAGCTAAAATGCGCGGCACGCGGCAGCAGGAAAAAAGGATGGCTGTACGCCGGCAGGGGGTTTATATAAGTCCTACCGCGGCCACGCCTGACAACTGGAGCAGCGCGCGCAGGCCGCTGGGAGTTGTAGTTCGTCCGCCTTCCAGCGCGGGGCGGTGCGTTGGCTCCCAGCCCCAAGGGCCTGTGGGGCGGGGCCTTTCTCTCTCAGGTGGAGGAACCATCTAAGTGATTTCTTTGGACTCCAAAGAAGCTCCCCCGCCTTGGTTTGGCATTCAGTGGTCGTCCAGTACCAGGCCTTGGGCTCATAAGTCCCGCCGTGACTTCTGGAGTTCAGTCCAGGGAGACTTTCAAAATCGGGGAGTTTACCGTTAACCTTGTGAGCTGGGAAAGGGCTCCAATCAGAGATCAGACCACGGTGGGCACGTGGAGGAGCAGCGACTGAATGCATTTTGTGGAGGGGCTCTGTGCGGTTCTCTTGGAGAGGGGGTTTGGGGAGGGCTTCTTAGGAAGAGGCGATTGATTACTCGTAAAATGAATGCATTATTTGTTCAAGGCTTATCCCTTACGCTAATAAATAACTTTACTGAGTGCACTATGCTCGATTATCTCAGCTACTTTGCATAATAACCCTGTGTGTGGGTATTATAATTATGCCCTTTTTCACACAGATACATAAACTGAGGAATGGGGCATCCACAGTTAGCAAACGAGGTAAGGACCGGAATCCTGGAGCCCACCCCAGATACCACCCTCATAATCACTGTGCCGTGTGCAAGTTTTGTCCACGGAATGAGTAAGCATCAATATAAAAACAAATAGTAATTGTCGAGAATTAAGCACCTATTCTGTGCTTAATCTATTCATTAATTTTTATCCTTACATACACTTTTTGTTTTCGTAGGGGAGGTACTGGGGGGTTGAGCCCAGGATGTCATGCACACTAAGTACAGTGCTTTACCACGAAGCTATACCCCCACCCCCTTACCTACACTTTGAAAAATAGATGTTACTGTTTAAAATGTAGAGAAAGCAATACACCCTAAGAGGATTAAGAAACTCTGATAACTTCCAAATGTGTTTTGTCGACTGAAATAAAATCACACGACATGAGAGTTGTGGGTTAAGTTTTACTGGAACAAAATGAGGACTATAGCCTGGGCGATATCATCCCAGAAAGCTCTGAGAAACTGTTCCAAAGAGGCAGGGGGAAGACTCAGTATTATATATGATTTCAGTGAAAGGGGTATGTACAGTCAAGCACACACTTAGGTAGAGGCTTGTTGCTAGTCATGAGGAGCAGATGTCACCGTTAATGATTTTAGTGCTTTTCTAGATATGAGGAGATGCAAGAATTGGGGCCATAAAATCTCCTGAAGATATCTAACTGAAGGCCTATTCAGCCAGTTTTCCCAGAGCACAGAGCAACTCATTCCTGACCTTGATCCTGAACTCCTTTCAGAGAGTATTGGAAGTCAGCAGCTGCAGCGGCTCATGATTTAATCCAAGCAGAGTTAGATAGCAAGTGCCAACGTGATCCAACCCTTGTTAAGCAGATGGCAAGTGCCAATTTTTAAGTTAGCAGTTTCTTTAGCCCCACTTTTCTCCTGAGTTCCAGACCTTATATTCTGTTGCTTCCATGACGGCTGCAGTTGAATGTCGAAGCTTCTCAGAACCCAGCCTTTGGTGGGTGGGGTATGGTTCAGTGGTAGAGCACATGCCTATCATGCATGAGGTCCTGGGTTCAATCTCTCCAGTAAAAAAAAAAAAGGAGGAGGAGGAGATGGAGGAGGATAAGGAAAAGAAGAAAAAGAAGACAGCCTTTCCTCCTCCAAACCTGCCTTTCCTCATCTCAAAGTCCCTAGGGTGACCCAGGACTCCTACTCTAACATCCCATTTCCAATCCATCAGCAAATCCTGTATTCACCTTTAAGATGCCTCACCTCTTAAAGACTTAAATGAAAGACCAGATACTATAAAACTCCTAAAGGAAAACATAGGCAGATCACTCTTGGACATAATCACAGCGATATATCTTTTGAACCAGCTCCTGGAGTAATGGAAATAAAAGCAAAAATAATTGGGGGTCTGATTAAACTTAAAAGCTTTTGCACAGCTAAGGATACCATCAGCCAAATGAAAAGACAACCTACAGAATAGGAGAAAAATATTTGCAAATGATGTGACCAACAAAGGACTAATTTCCAAAATATACAAACAGCTCAAACACATTAATATCAAAAAGAAACGAGCAACCCAATCAAAAACTGTTCAGAAGACCTAAATAGACATCTCTCCAAAGAAGACACACAGATGGCCAACAAGCACATGAAAAGATGCTCAACATCACTAATTGTTAGAGAAATGCAAATCAAAACTGTAATGAGATATTCCCTTATACTGGTCAGAATGGCCATCATTAATAAGTCTACAAACGATAAATACCAGAGAGGGTGTGGAGAAAAAGGAACCCTCCTACACTGTTGGTGGGAGTGTAAATTGGCGCAGCCACTATGGAGGATAGTATGGAGGTTCCTTAAAAAACTAAAAGTAGACTTAACATATGATCCAGCAATCCCACTCCTGGGCACATAACCAGAGAAAAATATAATCCAAAAAGACAGATGCACCCCAATGCTCATAGCAGCATTATTTACAATAGCCAAATGTCCATTAATAGATGACTGGATAAAGAAGTTGTGGTATATGTATACAATGGAATACTACTCAGCCATAAAAAATGATAAAAATAATGCCATTTGCCCCAATGTGGATGGACCTGGAGACTCTCATTCTAAGTGGAGTAAGCCAGAAAGAGAAAGAAAAATGCCACATGATATCACTTATATGTGGAATCTTAAAAAAAAAAGACACAAATGAACTTATCTACAAAACAGAAACAGACTCACAAACATAGAGAACAAACTTATGGTTACCAGGGGGAAAAGGGGGTGGGAAGGGATAAACTGGGAGTTCAAAAATTGCATCTCTTGGGGAGTGATGGAAATGTTAGCTATCTTGAGTGTGGTAGTGGTTTCATGGGTGTATACATCTATCAAAATTCATCAAATTGTACATTTGAAATATGCATAGTCTGCTCTACAGGAACCATATCACAATAAAGTTGTTAAAAAAACAAAACAAAAAAGATGCCTCACCTCCTCTGATGCTATCATTATTGCTGACCCAGAACTGTTCTAACTAGTCACCCTGATTCTGCCATTGCCCCTACAGTCTGGTCTCAACACACAAGT